AGTTATTGTCCAGCTCTCTGATACATAGCAAGTGATTGCAAAGACCATGGCCTGGATCAGGTGCACCTCAGTGTCTAGACTGGCATCATTGCTCTTCAGTACTTTGGAGAGGTCTCTGACAGCAGACTTTCCTAATGCAATTTGTCTTTTCATTACCTGGCTGCTGGTGCCAAGATTGTTGATTGTGGAGCTAAGCAAACTAAAGCTGTTAACAATCTCAATCTCGACACCATTTATCATGATGCTGCCATTTGGCCCAGTGGTGAGAATCTTTGTCTTCTTGATGTAGAACTTCCATTCATATTGAAGACTGCAGTCCTGACCTTCCACAGCAAGCACTTCAGGTCCTCCTCAGTTTCAGCAAGCATAATGCAGATTGTTAATGAGTCTTCCTCCAATCTTGATGCTACATTTTTCCTCATAGAGTCCAGCCTCCTGGATGATCTGTTCCACATATAGATTGAAAAGGTATGGAGATAGGACACATCCCTGGCATACACCCTTCCCAAGGGAAACCATGCAATGTTTCCCTGCTCTGTTCTGATGACTGCCTCATGGTCCAAGTTTAGGTTTTGCATAAATACAGTCAAATGTTCTGGGATTCCCATTATTCTTAGAGTTAGCCACAATTTGTTGTGATCTACACAGTCAAAAGCCTTTGTATAGTCAATGAAACACAGATAGACATCCCTTTGGTATTCCCTGCTTTCAGCCAAGATCAGTCTAACATTAGGTACAATATCCTTAGTACCTGTACTTCTGTCAGTTCTCTGTTGATGTGCTGTTCCAGTCATTTTTTATAATCTTCAGCAGAACTTTGCTTGCATGTGATATCAGTGATATTGTTTGATAATTTCCACACTCTGTCAGGTCACCGTTTTTTTGGAATGGGAACAAATATAGATCTCTTCTAGTCAGTTGGCCAGGTGGCTGTCCTCCAGATTTCTTGGCACAACTTGATGAGCACATTTATGGCAGTTTCTACTTGTTGAAATGTATCAATTGGTATGCCATCAATTCCTGAGGCCTTGGTTTTTTGCCAGTTCCTTCCGAGCAGCTTGAACTTCCTCCTTCATCACCACAGGTTCTTGCTCGTACATTGTTTCACGTAATTCTTCTGTGCCTACCAGTTCCTTTTGGTACAATGACTCTGTATACTCTTTCCATCTTCTTTTAATACTTTCTGGGTCATTTAATATTCTGTCCAAAGCATCCTTAAGTATTGCAACTCAAAGCTTGAATTTGTTCTTCACTTCCTTGAGCTTAAAGAATGCTGAGCACATTCTGCCCTTTTGATTTTCTGATTCCAGCTCCTTGCACATTCCATTACAATACTTTGTCTTCTTGTGCTGCCCTTTGAAATCTTCTGTTCAACTCTTTAATATCTTGATTTCTTCCCTTTGTTTTTGGCTTTTTCAGCACTCTGCTGCAATATTCAGTCTCTTCTAACATCTATTTTGGTCTTTTCTTCCTCCTCTGTTTTTGCAATGGCCCCCTGCATTATTCCCGGATGATATTCTTAATATCCTCCCACAGCTCATCTAGTCATCACTCATTCATGTTCAAGGCCTAAAACCTGCTCCTGAGATGGTTTTGCAATTCAGATGAGATAGACTCAAGGTCCTATTTTGGTTCCTGTGGACTTGATTTAATTATGCTTAGCTTCAGCTTGAATTTGCATATGAGCAGTTGATGGTCTGTTCCACAATCAACACCTGGCCTAATTTCCACAGCTGATATTGAGCTTCTCCAATGGTTCTTTCTACAGATGTAATCCATCTGATTCCTGTGTATATCATCAGGTGAAATCCATGTGTATAGCCTGAATTTATGTTTGGTATAAAACATATTTGCAATGAATAAATCGTTAATTATGTAAAATTCTCTTACCATATCTAATATGTGCAAGTCCATTGGCACAGCACTGTGTCAGTCCATCATGATGAAAGTCGTCATCTCTTTCTCTGACTCTTCATCTTTCCCAACATGATGTCTTTTTCCAAAGACTGACCCCTCCCTACAACATGCCCAAATACACATAAGATAGAGTTGCACCATCCTGGCCTGTAAGGTGTCCTCTGACTCTACATCCTTGTTTGGCTTTTTCATAGTTCCTGGAATAGTCAGTACTCTTCTCCAACAGTACAATTCAAATGATAGAACCTTCTTCTGTCATCCTTGCTCATTGCCCAACTTTCAGATAGATCAGAAGCAATTTAAAAGACTATGGTTTAGATTGTTGTTGTGTACTATCGAGTCAGAACCAACCAATAGCTGACCCTTTGGAGGGTTTTCAGAGGCAATTAATTTCATGAGAAGAGATTGCCCATCCTTCTCCTGTGGAGCAGCTGGTGTCCTTGAACTGCATGCCTTCAGGATTGCAGCACAGCTTCTTACCACTAGGCCACCAGAGCTCCCCATGGCTTAGATCAGGTACCCCTTAGTCTTAAGATGACATCCTTGCTCCTTGACAGCAGATTTTCTCAATGTAATCCAAAATCCAATTTAGATTTCTTTATTGCTTATACCCTGGGTATTGATTGTGGATCCAATGAAAAAGAATGTGTTGACCATTTCAATCTTTTCTCCATCTTTCATGGTGGTCCAGTGGTGAGGACTTTTGTCCTTTTGATGTTGAGATGTAAGCCAACATCGTGTGTGTGTGTGTACACACATACACATTCTAGTAAGTGTTATATGAATAAGAGTTATGGCCGTGTAGGTGAATTTATATAAATCTATAGCAGTGAATTCCATGAAGTGGAAGTATTCTGTGCACAGACTTCCCTGAGAGCTTTGCAGAAAGCTGCAGTGTGTCTTGTGTAGAGCCCAGGGCATTCCTGGGTGAACCCGTGCGTGAGATATGCTGCATACTCACTGACTTATCACAGCATCGTAGAGTTCCAACCTTTTCTAAGTGGCTTAGTCTACAAAGCTCATTAAGTGCCATCTCTTTTGCAGCTATTTTAAGCTCCCAGATTTTCTGGCAAAAGTTAATTTTTCAGGAATACATCTTGTTATTAATATTCTTAGGAGATAGAAGTAAATCCTAGAAACAACTTTTACTGGGGGATAACCTTTAGCCCATTCTGTTTTCTGAAGGATTAGGATGGATTTGAGAGTACAGTGGGGCCCACCAGTGGTTAGACCCTCAACCCCAGTGGACAAACACGTACCCTTTGACCTACCATTAATGGCCATACCTGAAATTTCTTTACCACTTCCTTTGCTGGAGAAATTCCTCAAATTTTATTTACTAGAAGACCGGATTTACTATTTACTGAGGGCTCCTAAAGCCATCCTAATTCTCAGGAAGGAAACCATGTAAGAAAAAACCATGTAAGAGAAAAAAACATGGTAACACGTGAATGCTTAGCCAGCATGGAGTAGCTTAGTGCTGTCCAGTCAGTTATACTATCATCCCAAGTGGCATCCGCTTCCTAAACAACACTCCCCTGGAAACAATGAACTTGATAAATGTCGACAGTTATAGAAAGGCTTCAGGCCTTTTGTTCATAGGGTGGCGATGAGTCGATGAGTTGAGTCGTGCTCGACTCAACGGCAATTAGTGACAACAATGTCAGAATAAAATCAGACACATGGGTGAAAAAGAAAAAAAAACCCTTTGGGTTCAGTGATTTTGTTATCTTGAGGCTGTCCTTTACTGTAGAGAAAAAGATGATGGAGAATTGCACTATCAGACCATATAAACTATGAGTAGGGTGTCCACAAAACAAAAGTGACATTTCTAGAACCTTTTATATAAATGCAAATGATTTGTTGTTGTCATTGTGGTTGTTATTGTTATGTACCAGGGAGTCAGAATCCAGTCATATCAAGCTCTCCGGCTCTCCAGCGGGTTTTCAGAGGCAGTAAATCACACAGAAAGAGGGTTCCTATCTTTCTACCACAAAGCAGCTGGCAGATTTGAACCATGTGCATTTGGATGGGCAGTGCAACTCCTTAAAACTTAGCCACCAGAGTTCACTGAATGATGTATCTTGTTGTTACGTGTCATCAAGCCCCCTGTGACTTATGGCAACCCTACGTACAACAGCTCTGAACCCTGTCCTGTCCTGAGCCAACCTCATCATCTCCCACCACCCCAGTCACTGAGTCAGTCCGTCTCATCGAGAGTCTTCCTAGCTAGTGCTGTTCCTCCACCCTCCCAAGCATGATGTCTCTCTCCAAGGACTGGTTCCTCCTTGCCACATGCCTAACATATTTCAGACAGAGCTTCAGAATTCTTGCCTCCAAGAAGCCGCCTGTAGGAACAACTACAAGATATTACAGCATTCTTTTGTTTTCCTAGAAAGGCAATTTGTATCTTCCTGAAGCCCTTTCTTAAATAAAAGGGGCTTTGTGATACAGTCCTTATGGAGTTGCACACCAGACCCAAAAGTGGCCACTCTCTGGCTTGGAATAACTTTAAGTAACAGTCTTCTGCAAAATGCAAATACGTTTTGTTTTTCTTAATGGACATAGAACTGAGTCAATTTCTGGATTTTTTTTAATGGGCATTTGTTGACTCAACACTTTTAATTGCAAGTATTTCCCCCAAATGTTATTTCAGAAATCTTGACCATATCAGACTACTCAAATTTCAGCACACATCTGGCAACATACTTCATGCATGTTGCTCTTAGTTGCTATAGGAGTCATTACTGTCTCATGAACGAAGCGTTACGAGGTCTTGCGTCATGTACACAATTCCACACGCACACACAGAGACACCACACAGTTATTCACCGTTTTCCTGTGTATTTTCTGAGCCACTTCTTTCCTTTCATTCTCTTTGACCGTAGCTTTAGCAGTGGGACGCCTGCTGTCATTGAAAACTCCTGTTTTTTTCTCTGTGAGATGGTAATTTACACTCTCCCAGGATCCTGGACCTCAAAGACAGGCACCGTTGCCGAGAGCTGTGTACTGACCCCTGAGCGGATGTGTGTCTTTGTGTCACAGGCCTTCCAGCGCCAGGTCCATGAGAGCCTGACCCAGCTGGAGCTGATCAACAAGCAGTACCGCCGCCTGGCCCGGGAGAACCGAACCGACTCAGCCTGCAGCCTCAAGCAGATGGTTCACGACGGCAACCAGCGATGGGACAACCTGCAGAAGCGGGTCACCTCCATCCTGCGCAGACTCAAGGTCATTGCTGTGCCCCCTCAGTGACTGAGAAGCCCAGGAAATGACACTGGGCCTTTCGAATCCAGTGTAAAACCCAGTTTCAGTGATGCTGGAAGGTTGGGATGGTGGGCGTGTTATCCAGGGAACATGATACAAACGGAGATTACAAGATTGTCATTGCGTGCTGAGAGGATGGCTTTCCAGAAGAATATTACAGCTTTCTGTGCCTCCTCTGTGTGCCATGTGGACTGTTTTTATTCTTTTTCACCCCGTACAGCACTTCATCGGCCAGCGGGAGGAGTTTGAGACGGCGCGAGACAACATCCTGGTCTGGCTGACCGAGATGGACCTGCAGCTCACCAATATCGAGCATTTCTCGGAATGTGATGTACAAGCTAAAATCAAACAACTCAAGGTAACAGATGCACTGTGTTCAGATTTCCAGTACAATGGGAGTCTCAAAAGGAGAGAATTTGTGGATCTGTTTATGAAGAATGTGATGGAATTCTTGAAAAAAAAATCTTCCAGATTGTTGTTGTTGTTGTTATTATGTGCCGTTGAGTCACCAGGGATGCATAACTATCCTCTGTACAATAGCCCTGAACCCTGCCCTATCCTGAGCCAGTCTTACTGTCTCTGACACACCTACACCCATTACCCCAGTTACTGTTTTAATCTATCTCATCTGAGGTCTTCCTCCACTCCACCCTTCCAAGCATGCTGTCCTTCTCCAAGGACCAGTCCCTCCTGGTCACATGTGCTAAGGAGATGAGACACAGCTTCAAAATCCTTGTCTCTAAGGAGCAGCCTGGTTATACCCTCTCCAGAACAGGCCAGTTCGTTAAGAACACTACCCAAAGGTAACCACTGTGGACATACAAACTGTCAGTTATTAACTTGGGTGGAAGACAGACATCTTTTTGGGATATGCTTGCATTGGGTTTTGATTTTGTCTTTTCTCTTTTGTTTATTTCAACTTAAAAGAATTCATTTTACCTCCTTGGTCTAAAGAAGCACTACTTTCTTAGGTTGAGATTTTGTCCCACAAAAGCTTTTGTAGATGTTAAAAAAATTACATTTGGAATGCCTTTTCTGATTTTCACTATATATCTCAGGTAGAAATTTAAATTTAAATAGGAGGAGTTTAGTGTAAATATCAACTCGGTTCATTGCCATCTACTCAGAAACAAACTCTTGGCTGAGCCTCTGTTGGGTTTCTGACACTACACCATGTGGGAGGAGATGGTCTGTTTTTCTCTCCAGGAACCACTGGTGGATTTGAACCACTGGAGTGGTGCAGCATTTTATTAGCCGTGCACCTCTTTATGGACTACGTCATCAGAGTCCCCTGTACTAATCTTTAAAGGAAATATATTTAATAGGAATTTAGCAGACTGTTTATAATCTCTTTTTCCCAAGATAGATGGGGGAGAGACAGAGAGAGAGAGAGAGAGAGAGAGAGAGAAAAGATGTTTTTAAAGAATAGCTTAGATGCTTATCTCTTTCAGGTTAATAAAATAAAGCAAGGAAATGACCCTAATCATAGATTCTCAGAATGAAAAATATTCATAGACAAGTAAACTATACTTTTCTGCCTTCCCCCCTCATACACACTCACTTCCTCAGCCTCCTCCCTGTTTCCTTGCACAGTTCTCACAACTTCTCACAGGCAAATCAGTATTTAACTCCTCCAACCCGAAGTCTTTACTAAGTATGGGCTGATTTTTTTTTTCCCTCTGGAATCTGGCCTTATCAGGGGACTTTTTTCTACCCCCTCCCACTTCTCCCTTGGAAATCTCTCATGTTTCAAAACTGTGCACTAGTCCAATATCTTTCCTTATATTGAAACAAAACTTACTCTCTGAAGCTTGAACCTGTGATTAAAACTTGGCTTCGTGGAACCATAAAGAATGAATCTAAATACTCCTTCAAGAAGTCTGCATTTTTTTTCAATTCACTGAAACTCTAGCTGAGTCCATTTAAGAATCTCGTGAGTCAATTTCAGAATCTCGTGAACAAGTCTGTGACATCACTTGTCATTTGGGCAGGTGTTTGCCATCTGAGAGGGGCATCTAAGATGAAATCGTTCAGCAGTCCTTTAACATGCTAAACCCATTGCAATGGCGTTCCATCGGCTGCTGTTATTTTCTGCCCGCTACTTGTCAGTGCTCTGAGATTTGTGGTCTGTTTGAATGTTTTTTTGGAGTTTTTTCCCCCCTGGGACATTCTGCCCATTCTGTCTAGAGTGCTAAGTTTTGTTAGCCAAAAATACTTTTCTTCCCATAATCCTCCAGGATATTCATTTATAACTCCTGATCTTAAGAATGCTATGGTTTATGTTAGAAAGTCTCTCTTGACTTGCCATTATGTTTTTCACTCTCTGACAGTTTCCTACCTTGCTGTCTTTTGCAGATTTGACTGTATGTAGTAAACTAATTATGCCAGTAACATTCTTCTAACATAATGAGAAATATAGAGGGCCCTTGTATTTAAAAGTTGGTTGGGCCTGAGGGTCTAGTGTTATTTTTGGAGGAACATTTTTCTAAGCTGCACAGCACTCCTCTGTCAATGTGCTGCACTGAGGTAATCTGGGTTTTCTGTGATGCTGAACCTTGTGCCATTGGGGTGTTAAATGCCATATTATGCCATGGCTGCCCATGGTGGACAGTGTCTGGTGGAGCTCCCAGTTTAAGACATGTTTGGAAGCAAGAGTGGCGTCCACTTCCTAAACCACATGCCTCTGGAAACTATGAACTTGGAGATACGACGATAGTTCCAGAAAGGTTTCAGGCCTTTTGTTCGTAGGGTTGCTCTGAGTCATGCTCGACTCAATGGCAATCAACAACAACAATGAGAAATAAACTTCGTGTCTTTGTATATAGTTGTTGTTGTTATATGTCATCAAGTTGCTTTCGGCTCATAACAACCCTGTGTACAACAGCCCTAAATCCTGCTCTATCCTGTGCCAGTCTCACTGTCTCCAACACACCTACCCCCAGTACCCCAGTCACTGAATCGATCCACTTCACAGAGGGTCTTCCTCTCCTGCGCTGTCCCACCACCCTCCCAAGCATGACGTCCCTCTCCAAGGACTGGTCCCTCCTTGCAACATGTCCGAAGTATATCAGACGAAGCTTCAGAATCTTTGCCTCCAAGGAGCAGCCTGGTTTAATGCTCTCTTGGACGAACCTGTTCATTTTCTTAGCAGTCCATGGTAACACATAGTAAATGAAATATCACCACTGGCCTTTCTCTAACATACTGGGAAATCCCTATTTTGTCATTGTATATGGTAACTGAACCATCACCACCCTCCTTGTTTTAACGTGATGAGAAATGCCTGTCTGGTAGCTACTTCTCCCCACGTGAGCGTTGAGCAGTTACAGGAGGTGTGTGCTTTGCAGGCGTTCCAGAGGGAAATCTCCCTGAACCACAACAAGATTGAGCAGATCATCGCCCAAGGAGAGCAGCTCATAGAGAAGAGCGAGCCCCTGGACGCTGCTGTGACCGAGGAGGAGCTGGATGAGCTCCGACGCTACTGCCAAGAAGTGTTCGGGCGTGTGGAGAGATACCATAAGAAACTGATTCGCCTGCCTGTACGTAACGGTTCTCTTTTTGCAGAGGGAACTTACTAGCTATGCTGGGTAGTGTACCTAGGAGGCATTGTGTAGTGAATAAATTCAGATTCTGAAGGCAGTGTTTGGGCTCAAGTCCACCCTCTTACACTTGGTTATGGAACCCGAGTCAGGCTTCTTTGCCTTTCTTGACTCAATTTCTTTCACTCTGGTGGCCTCGTGCTATGAAGCTGCGCTGCAATCCCAAAGGCACACGGTTTGAATCCACCAGATGCTCTGTGAAAGAAGGAAGGACAGCCGCCTCCTTTATAGTTTCCTGCCTCTGAAAACCTGCTGGAGTGTCAGCTATGAGTCGCTTCTGACTCCAAAGCAGAAAAACACAGCAACCACAACCACAACATAAAACCAAACGTCCTGTCGGTCTCAGCCCTGGGGCCCCTTCATTGAGTTTCTAAGGCTGTAGATCAGGATGGGAGGAGACAGCCTCTTCTCTTCCAGTTGGTAGATTCTAACCTCCAACCTTAAGTCGATCGTCCAGAACATAACCCACACTGTAGGGCTTGTAAGAGGACCAGATTCCATCTACTTCATTCCAGTTAATGACAAGTGAGTGTTGTCAGCACAGAATTTGTGCTCAGTGAGGGTCAACTGGCTGATTTTGAGGAAGCAGATTGAGATGCCGCAAACTGGGTGAACTTGATCCGCTAACCTTTTGCTTAGTGGCTGAGGGCATTAAGCACTTGTGCCATTCAGGCCTTTAGTTTAGTAATGGCACCACCTTCTATAAAAGCTCATGTGAGCGGCAAATGTATTAACATATGTGAAGAGCAATCGACTCGACACGTGTCTTTTATGGGAAACAGAGAGCCTCGGGAAGAAACCAGGAGACGAAGGCAAACGGCCTAAACTGTTGCTCCGCCAATGGTGTTATATTTAGATGAATTGTTTTCCTCCCTTTTTTTTCAAATCAGTACCACAAATACCTCTCATCTATAGAGATGTTAGTGTTCGAAGGCTGAGAATGTTCTAAGATGAATGATGTCTTATATCTGTGATAGAAGGCAAGAAAGACAAAGTGTTATTGAGTAGGGCCACGAGTTTGCAAACTTGGCTACCAACCAAAGTTTGGAGGGTTCAAGCCATCCAGAGGGGCCTTGGAAGAAACACCTGACAATTACTCCTAAAACTTGAGCCACTAAAACCCGGTAACTCTCAGTTCTGTTCTGGGTTTGTCAATTTAGCCCCTGATTTAAGGTTTTAGTAGTAATTTATTCTAATTCTTGCTCTATGCCATGATGTTAGTGTATTTATATCATCATATGTAATCTTATGTGGTTGTTGTTGTTGATTGCCTTTGAGTCAAGCATGACTCATAGCGACCCTATGAACAAAAGGCCTGAAGCCTTTCTATAACTATCAACCTTTATCAAAGCTCATAGAGTTTTCATAGGCATATTGTTTAGGAAGTGGACGCCCCTCCTGCTTCTTTATAGCATCGTATTTAATCATTTGTGAGTTTAGTATCAGTAGGAAGGTTTTGACATGATTCCCATTTTCTCAGTGGGAAATCTGAAGCTTTGGTTAGTTAATTAATATCAAAACCACTGAGTCAGTTCATAGTCCATGAGGTTTCTGGGCCTTTAAATCTTAGTAGGGAGGAAACGGCCTCATCTTTCTCCTACAGAGCAGCTGGTGGATTCAAATTGCTGACTTTTCAGTAAAATAGCCCCGTTGATTACACACTCAGGACCCTTGGCAGTAATTCTCATTCAGGCCTCTTTGAGTTAGAATGGACGTGACGGCCTCTAACAGCAACAGAAGGGCAGGTTGTCAGGCGATCCAATATTACTTCTTTTTGGCATGAAGTTTAGTCTAACCCTGAGCAAGTGAGGCGTGTGGCCCCCATAAGCTGGGAAAGTCCAAGGGAAGGCAGAGCCCACAGAGGCCACTGAAGTGACGGGCAGATCTGACCTTCACAGCTCCAGGACGAAGACCATGACCTCTCAGACCGAGAGCTGGAGCTGGATGACTCTGCAGTGCTCTCGGACCTGCGTTGGCCGGACACGCCCGCCCAGGCAGCACTGTCCCCCCAGCCGTCCTCCAACCCCTCGCTGTCCCTGGCCCAGCCCCTCCGGAGCGAGCGGTCAGGACGGGACACCCCAGCCAGCGTGGACTCCATCCCCCTCGAGTGGGATCACGACTATGACCTCAGCCGTGACCTGGAGTCTGCGGTCACCAGGACCCTGCACTCGGAGGATGAGGAGGGCCAGGAGGACAAAGACTTCTACCTACAGGGAGCTGTCGGCCTGGCAGGTAGGAAGAATGGGGCCTCTGTAACAGCAGAAAGGAAATCACAGGCTGAGGGAGGTAGACCAGGAGCTCGGGGTGGTCTAGTTTGGTTCCTTTCTCCCACCTGAGGAAACTGATATGATTGTTGTTGGTGTTGTTATGTGCCATCAAGTCACTTGCAACTCATAGCGACCCTAAACCCTGCTCTGTCCCTTGCCATTACTATTGTCTCCAACGCACTCATCTCCATTATCCCAGTGATGGAATCAGTCCACCTCATAGAGGGTCTTCCTCCCCTGTGCAGTCCCTCTACCCTCCCAAGCATAATGTCCCTCTCCAAGGACTGGTCCCTCCTTGCAAACATGTCCAAAATATGTGAGCTGGAGCTTCAGAATCCTTGCCTCCAAGGAGCAGCCTGGCTTTATCCTCTCCAGGACAAACTTATTTGTTCTCCTAACAGTCTATGGTATATTCAGTACTCTTCTCCAGCACCACAGCTCAAAGGCATCAATTCTTCTTCTATCCTCCCCAGTCATTGTCCAGCTCTCTGATACATAACAAGTGATTGCAAAGACCATGTGTCAGGCGCACCTTAGTCACGTTTAGCAGATGTAAAACTTAGCATGGCTATTCATTTCTCCCACTTCTCTTTGTGTTCTTATTTATTATGTACCACTTTCTAAATGCCGGTAATTCCCAGTGAGATGGATTGATATGGTGACCGCAGCAATGGGTTCATTGTATCAGAGGTGATGAGGATGGCACAGGATAGGGCAGGATTCCACTGTGTTGTTCACAGGATCGCCAGGAATCATACTCAGCTCAACAGCCCCTAACGACAAAACAGCAACAATGATTCACAGACTCGGGCCAGGTTCAGATTCTTCCTTCGTAAGGTTGCTGTGAGTCAGAGTTGACTCAACAGCACCTCACAACCACAACAGTGATACACAAGCCCTTCTCTTTCCGAAGGGCTTTGATTCTAGCGTGCAAGATCAGCAAGGATGGAGGGGTTGCACGGAGCTCTCTGCACCGGGGGTGGGAAGGGGCATTTGAGGGGTGCGGGTTCAGAGATCTGAGGAGGAGCTTCAGGGAGGAAGCTGAGTAGACCCCCAGGGATGAGTGACTGTCGTCGATGGAGTCCAGAGACAGAGGCGAAGGAGCCAGCTGGACTCGAATTAGAGTGTGCCCTGGGCCTGAAACCCTGAAATACCACAGGAGGACAAGGGTAGGAAAACAGGAACTGGAGAAAGAGAGTGAATAAAAGGAGAACAAGGATTCAGAGACTGGACTGTACCCTTGTAAACGTTCCTAATAATTAATAGTAATAATAATAATAATAGTATGAAGTAATTATTAAATAATTGATATTCTTAATTATTATTCTCATTAAGAATCATAATTATTATAATATTATTATACATTGCTGTTGTTTTTGTTGTTGTTAAGTGCCATCAAGTTGCAGGCAACTCATAGCAACCCTATGAAGGAGAGTCCTCAATGCTTGTGTGTTTTTCATCCTCTCTCCAGGTTCATAGGGTTTTCGGAGGCAAGCAGTTTCGGAAGTGGATGCCAGTCCTGCTTCCAAGCTTATTTTAATTGGGGAGCTCCATCCAGCTCTCTGGGTAACCAGCCAGTAATGCATTTGACACATCAGTGCTCAGCCCTCACAGTAACCACAAGTTACCGCTGTATGGCAACTTGTACACCAGGGCTATATGACCTAGAAGAATGTTTGAACAAAATAATTATTATAATATTATTATTATTACATTATTCTATAATTATATTATTCTATATTATTACATCATCATCATTATTATTATTACTATTACTATTAAGATGGATTTGTTTTCTAAGATAATCACAGTACAATTCAACGTGGCTGTTGGGACCTTTAGATACCTATTTCTGTCGGCCAGTCGGGCTCTAGAATATGCCTTTTCTGGGTGGAAATCTCAGCTCTGCCACTTGTCAGTCGTGGAAGCTTGTAAATGATCCCTCCAGACTCCAGTTCCTTCATCTATACATTGGGACTAACCAGCTGGAGAACCTCTCAGGGTTTCTCTCCACATAAATGAGTCAGAGTGTACACATGATCCCCTGTGTACCTGGCTCCTCCGAGGCCCAGAAAGCATGGGCTCTGGTCAACCATCGCAGGAGCTGTGCTGTGAGCAGGCTACCCGTCCTCTCCCTGCCCGCGAGCGTCCTGTGTGGTCCAGACAGACTAATACCCCTTCTTTCTCTAGGAGAGTGAAACCACTGCCACCTGGGATGCTTCCAGAACCTGGCTGTCCACTTAGACTGTGCTCTTTTTGCAGATGTAGTGGTCCCCGAAAGCCCCGAGGCCTTTGTAAAACTCACAGAAAATGCCATCAGAGATGCCTCTGGTAGGCCCCCTCGGCCCAGGCGGAGCCGGCGCCTCCCCACCTGCCCCTGCGCCCCTCTTCGCTCACCTGCAGTCTTTCATGGCTTGGTGACTCGCATGTTGAGGCTCACCTTTCCTCTCTCACTGCTTGACTAGAAAACATGGAAGTGTACAAAAATCTGGCTGGTCAACATCATGTAGATTTGAATCAAATTAAATGATATGATTATAAGTATTATTTTCGTGAGACCTGAATCTGTGATGGTGCTGTGACAATAGGAAATAGGACACGAAACCAGCTCTTCAGCTTAGATCCTGGTGTGCTCTTTGGGTGTGGGGGTGCTGACTTGAGGGAGCGGATGTCCCTAGAGTGGAAGGGTCGGGGTGCCTCTGTCCCGTACACATCCCTGTCTGTCTGCATGATCAGGACACTTCTTCCTCCTGGCCTCAGAGCCCCCCTTCCAATCCAGGGTGAGCCTAGACAAGCAGCTCTTCAAAAAGATCACAATTTTGTGATTTTTGACTTGAATTTGATATGTTGGGATTTTTATGATGTTTAGTTATTGACTCTTCGCCCAGAAGAGAATGTGAAAAGGAAACGTAATGGGCAATATCTTGAGGCTCAGATTTTCCTTTAAAAAAGTATTGTTTCTTCCAAGAAGAGTGATCGGAGGAGGAAAGGAGGGGCCAGTGCTGTTTAAGGCTGCAGCAGACCTGCAGAAATCAGGGCAGTTATTCAAGGGTAGGAGCGGCATAGGCTGTGATACTGAGCCCTGGAATCACTCCTGTGTGCTTAGGGTTTCAAAGGAAAACAGGGAAAGGGGAGGGGGTGAAGTAGCATGACAGAGAGAGAGATGGGGAGAGAGGGAGAAAGGGAGGGAGAGAGAGAGAAAGAATGACGCTGGCCTGCTCCAGAGAAGAGCCCTCACCTGGGGGTGTGGAAGAGGCCTTTTTCCTAGATAAACGCAGAAAGCTTTCTAATCCTTGTTCTGCTTCCACACTGTGCTTGCTTTACCCTAGTCATCAATGCTTTTGTTTGCTCAAAGACTAATACAAATAAATAGAGAGAAAAAGAATGTCCCTGGGTGTCGCTGCACATGGTCCATGCACACGGCTGCTGGCCCAGAAGTTGGAGGTGGGAGTCCTCCTAGAGGCACCTTGGAAGAAAGGCGTGGTGATCTGTTTCCAGGAAATCAGTGCCTGAGAGGGCTGTGGACCCGGATCTGCTCTGACACACATAGGGACGTCATGAGCGGGAAATCAAGTCACCAGCAGCTGGATACACACATACACACGCACAAGCATGTAGATATGTGTGTACACACACATATCCACACGCACATGTGTATATACATGCACATGTATGTACACATGTTATTGTTTACCACTGGGTCAGAACCAACCCATGGCTGACCCTCCAGTGGGTTTTCAGAGGCAGAAAGTCACATGGGAAGAGATTGCCCATCTTTCTTCCACAAAGCAGCTGGTGGATTTGAACCACATGCCTTTGGGTTGGCAACACAGTTCCTTATCATTAGGCCCCCAGAGCTCCTACACACACACACACACACATACACACACACGTATGCACACAAACATATGTATATGCACATACAAATATTCATATATATGTATATTCATACGCACATACATATATACTTAAAACTTGCACTTGTTTTTATTTTTATTTCCGATTATCAATGTTGTTGGGGGCCGTTGAATTCATTCCCATGTCCATGGACCCTGTGTGTTTACACTGTAGAACTGGTCATCCCACAGAGTTTTCTTGGTTCTAATCTTCAGGGAAGCAAACTGCCACATCTTTCTCCCACGGTAGGTTCAAGCTGCCAACCTTTGGCTGGCAGTCAAGCACTTTAAAGCTGTACCACCAGGGCCCCTTGCGTTTTGACTAAAGGCAGTCTCCAGTTAGAGATTGTCATGGGCGCCTATCCTGAAACCAGCCTTTGCTTGGTTGACTTGAAGTCATTACTTAAATGAATGGTGCAGCCATGGGAGTGTTGGTAGAAGGATCTGCTCCTGAGAGGCCAAAAGAATTACAGGAGGCTGACCATCCCCTGCTCCCGAAGTGACTGCAGGAAGAACCAGAAGTAATGGACTTCAGGTTTCCAAGGTGTGCGCTCTGGTGGTGTAGTCCGGAGGGTGTGGTGCTGCTCACCCAAAGGCCATGCCTCTCCAGCAGTTTGAAACCACCAGGCGGCCGTTCTGTAGGAGGACGATGGCCAGTCTCCTCCTGTGTGATCTGTAGTGTCTGAAAACCAGCTGGAGGTCAGCTATGAGTGGATTCTGACTCCATGACGATTAGAGTTATCTTGAGTGAGTTCTCAAAGAACAGGAGGTCCTGTGTCAGCTTCTTAGAAAAGCCTTTCGCCATTTGCAGTGTTCAGATTATCAGGGGTCAGAGGAGATGAGGAAAAAGCCCCCCCCGCAAGCCTGCTTAGGACAGAGTCAGTCTCTGGGACTCAGAGCTGAGTACGTTTATCATCCAGGCCTGGAAAACGCCTAACCCACCAGCACGTTGGCACTAACTATGCTTCCGAAGTGCCCCACACCTGTCATCTCTCTGCGGCTTTAACGAGGGTAACACCTTCCGCTTTCCCAGGAATACCAGGCTCGCTCGCAAGGACTGGTTAACAATTCTCCTGGTTACCACTGCAGGAGGTCACAGCGCCTTGGAGTCACAGATCCGACAGCTGGACAAAGCCCTCGATGACAGTCACTTCCGGATGCAGCAGACCGAAAATATCATCCGCAGCAGGACTCCCACGGGGCCTGAGCTGGACGCCAGCTACAAGGGCTACGTGAGTATCCTCTGTATCCTGAGGGAGACGTGCCGGGAAATCAGGGTTCTGTGACCAAGCACCTTGTGTCTGAGGCAGGAGGCCTGGGCGTTCTCCCCTGGGGGTCAGGCAGCCTGTTACTAAGTTACCTGTTGACAGAGTGTGTCTGATCCCAGGCCACCAGCCACCATCATGACCCAGCTGCCCCTTTGCATGGGGCCCTTGAGAAGCCTGGCTTTGGGAAAAGTAACAAAATGATTGCAAAATCCACCAGGCATTGCACCAAACCCAATTAATACATTTTGGACTAAGATGAGACTTGAAGAGGCAAGTTCCAGCCAATAGATCACTGGCGGGGAAGCTTCTAAGGCTCTTTTTGTTTTGTTCCCTGGATTTATTGGTTCACTCTGTGACCTTGGAATGGTTTTGTCCTCTATTATTTGTATGCTTTTCTTATTCTAGGGTGGGTGGGGGAAAGTCTGATTAACAGGAGGCTTATGGGTAAAAATGACAAGAAACTGTATGATGTTGTTGTTGTTGTTGTTGTGTGTTGTTGAGCCAGAACCATAGCTGACCCCCCAAGTGCTTTTCAGAGACTTTAATCACACAGAAGGAGACTGCCCATCTGTCTTTCCTGGAGCAACTGGTAAATTAGAACCATATTCCTTTGGCTTGACAGTACAGTTCTCTAATCACTAGGCCACAGAGCTGTGAATTGTTGTTGGTATGCACCATCCAGTTGGAACCGACTCATAGCTGAACCCTCTAAGGTGTTTTTGTTGTTGTTGTTGGTTGCCGTCGAGTAGAGCACAACTCATAGAGACTCTATGAACAAAAGGCCTGAAGCCCCTCTACAACTATCGACATTTATCAAAGTTCACAGAGTTTCTGGAGACGTGTTGTTTAGGAGGTGGATGCCACTCGCAGTAAATTACACAAGAGAAGCTTGCCCACCTTTCTCCTGCAGACCAGCTGGTGGATTCAAACTGCCTGCCTTGGGTTTGGCAGGACCGTTCCTCACCACAAGCCACCAGAGCTCCCTGTATATTATTAGTTAAACTGTTTGTGCGGCTCTTGGTAATTACACAGGAACTCTGTTAGATTTGTGGAGCCTTAGTGAGTTCTGATTCAGTGCTTAGCTGCCACGCTGAAGGTCAGTGGTTCAAATCCACCAGAAGCTCACAAGGAAAAAGATAAGGCAGTCTGATTCAGTAAAGATTTAAGTCTCAGAAACCTTAAGAGGTGTGTTACTCTGTCTTGCAGAGTTGCTTTGAGTCAGAATGACTCAACAGCCCTGGACTTGTTTGTTGTTAGCTCCTCCCAAGAATGCCTCTACAAATAAAGGGAATTTTCAAGGCAGTCTCTTTCCTGCAAGTATCTCTTCACATCCTTTGTGAAAGGAAAGATATGTTATTGCTTTTGTTAGGTGTCCTCGGATTAACTAAAGACAAAACTGTGCCAACCTCACAATCACTAGGGTGTTTGAGCCCCATGTGGGATCTTTGTCCATGAGGTTTCTGCTGCTAATTTTCAGAAGTGTATCACCAGGCCTTTCTTCCTTGCCTTAGTCCAGAATCTCTGCTGAAACCTGTCCACCATGGGTAGCCCTGCTGCTATTTAAAATACCAGTGGCTTAGCTCCCAGCCTCAAAGCAATATACAGGCCACCACAGGAGGAAAGACTGACTGTGAATGGTGGAAGTCTTTTGAATAAGGTTAAAGTTCTCCCAGTCACAGAAGAGTAAGGAATCATGTGTTTGTTTTCCGTCCTTCTTACTTAGCCTACTCTACCAGCTATGAGCCAGTGGAACTTCCCTTCTTTAAAGGATAATTTGATTTTCTGATGAGCTTGTTGGCATCACTGACACTATGCTTAACCTCAAGCAAAATAATCAAAGTAACTTAATAGCATTTGGATTGTTAAAGAATTTGAATGTCAGCTTTATGTTTAGTGTCACCGGAGTGCCCGGCATGGGATGAAAATGATGTTGGAATCTTTTTCTTTGATAACAACTCCATCCCTAAATACCTATGAAGATACTTAAATTTTCTCAAGAAACATCTTGATTTAATGTGAAAAATAGTTCCTTTGAGATTTGTGGTAATATTGTTACATGTGGTGATATTATTGTAAATTATATTCTATTATTTATGATACTATCACTATTTCCCCCACATTTTCATTTAAGGATGGGAAAGAGGGAACAAGTTTACAAAAACTGTTTTATGGCCAAATGACAGCTTTGAGTTTTTAAATTGGGCTATTTCTAGCTGTCTTGATTCAAGAACTTAAAAGCAATTTTGAGAACAGTCCTTACAAACCTTATTAGCAAAATAAGGTCCACTTATTGTATCTATGAAAATTAAAGGATCACTTATTGTATCTATGAATCTACCATCTGTTTAAAAACATATTTTTCACCATTAGCTCATTTTAACATCACAGGAGACTCTCTACAGAGAAGTAAAACAGCCACGGTGAGGGCTGAGCAACTCCCAAGTACTATTTTCCAGAATCCCTTCCTCTGGCGGGAACCGTAATCCCTGGGGCCTGTGTTTTATGTCCGACCAGATGAAGCTGCTGGGAGAATGCAGCGGCAGCATGGACTCCGTGAAGAGGCTGGAGCGCAAACTCAGGGAGGAAGAGGAGAACTTCCCCGGCTTTGTTAACCTGGACAGCACCGAAGCCCAGACAGCTGGTAAGTCAACCAGGAATGAAATCAAAGGCACTGAAGCACTTTGCTACATGTCCGTAGTGTTACTGTGGAAGAAATACCAGGAGAGGGCAGCTTTAAGGAACAAATGTTTTTTCTCACTGTTCCTGAAGCTGAAAGTCCAAATCAGGGCCCTGATCTTGTCAGTTCCTACTTGTAGGTAGTCAGGGGCATTGATTCTATGGTTCCTCAGCTTACAAATGAGCCTCAGTGTGTATGAGAGTGAGAGTCTCTATTCTAGAACTCTTGTCACTAAGAAGTGATTTGATTTAGGATATAGGACATGATGTAGGACATGAGGACGCGGGAGACTATTATGATAGTTTTTTTCATGCTCTGTTTTAAAGCATACATCTAATGTATGGAGTCAGGAATTTCACACATGTGTTCTCAGTCACACTGTAGACGAGGACCAGGAATTGAATGCTTTCTTCATATTACTGCTTTGGCTCTTTAGTCTGTTCAAGTTGTATTACTCCTTTTTTTCTAACTCTATTACTTTATTTTTTTTTAAATTTTCTACTAGTTTATCTACAAAATTTGAATACATTGTTTTCAAGAACAAATTCTTTCAATTTCCCTCACGCTCCTATCAAATTGTACAACTCCATGATTAATTCCCCACCACACACACACACACATCCTCATCCCTCTGATTCTAACCTCTCCCACCCGTCTTGGATCCTTACACTCATTCTACAGTAATTATTTTATACAACATTTATCCTTATGGGACTGAGTCATTTTACTCAGCATAATGCTCTCCAGTCCCTCCCAAGTTAGGTTATAATTTACAAAATCATTGCTCCTTCGTGCTGCATAGTATTCCATTGTGAGATTGTACCATAATTTCTCAATCCATTCGTTTGTGGTTGGATATTTAGGCTGTTTACATGTTCTTGCGATGGTGAATAATGCTGCTATGACCACTGGCATACAAATCTGTGCTTCAGTTTTCATTTTCTCAGGGTATATTTCCAAATAGTGGAATAGCTGGGTCATATGGAATTTCTGTTTTACCATATGACTCAGCTAACTCTATTTCTTTAAAAATGCAGGCAGGAAAAGCAGAGCCATTCAGATGTGTCTCCAGATGCCAGCAAGAACGGAAGTGCCCTGCAGAATTCCTTCTACCCCACTGATCTTGAGTTAGCCCGAGATTTGTCTTGAAAGCGTTCCCTTTGTGCCGTGTGTGGAGAAGACACCTGACTGCCGTTCTGTGTGTGTCCCTTCAGGTGTGATCGACCGATGGGAGCTCCTCCAGGCACAGGCGCTCAGCAAGGAGCGGAGGATGAAGCAGAACCTCCAGAAGTGGCAGCAGTTCCAGTCGGACTTGAACAGCATCTGGGCTTGGCTGGGCGAGACGGAGGAGGAACTGGAGCATCTGCGGCGCCTGCAGCCCAGCACTGACATCCACACCATTGAGCTGCGGATAAAGACCCTCAAGGTACTTTTTCCAGCCTTCCCACGGAGCCAGGCGAAAGGCTGCTGGGGCCTCAGAGGAAATGACCGGCTCAGCTGTTTCATAATTACTGCCCCCACCTCCAAAAAAACCTAAACCTATTGCTATGAGTGGATTCTAGTTCATGCTGACTCTGCATGTTACAGAGTAGAAATAGTACTCTCTTGGCTGGCATCTTTATGGAAGTTGATTGCCAGGTCTTTCTTCCACGGCACAAACGGGTCAGTTCAAGACAGTAGCCCTTCGGTTGATAATTAATAGCAAATTACCCTCTGTAATCATGAAAAACCCAAACTCACTCCTAGGTCATCAGTTCTGACTTCTAGAGACTCTGTATCTGGTTTCTGAGGCTGTAAATCTCTATTCGAGGAAATTGCACATCTTTTCCCTCCAAAGTGAATGTGAACTGCTGACCATTCATTAACAGCCTGATAGGTTTCATATGATGATGCCGGATATCCTCAATGATTGCACAACCGTAGATAAATGGCGTATCAGAAATGAAAAAGAGCTCCATTCTGTTCCTGCCTTCTAAGCAACAATCTCTTGATGACCCTTCACCGGATTTCTGAGGCTGGAGATGTTAACCGGAGCAGCCGATCTCTTACAAAGCAGCCAGCCCTTTTGTTAGTATCCCTATGCTTAGCTTGCTATTTACCACCAGGGCTTCTGTTCTGACCCAGCCATCCCATATCACAGCAGCCAACCACGCAGTGGCCGCTAACAGCAGCGAACTGTGGTGAAAGGCCTCACAGGTGTCCTTGGTTTGGGCCTGGGTAGGTGGGCACACAGGATGTTGTTGTCGTTGAGGCTGGATTGTCAACAGAGGTAGCTTGGAGTCATTTCCAACTCTGCAGACAGCAGAACCAACCACTGTACCATTCTCACTATGGTTGCTGTGCTGAAACCCATCGTTTCAATCCAGCTTGCTGGGAGTTTTCGTCGTTTTCGCTGACTCCCTGCTTTCCAAGCATGAGGTCTTTCTCCAGGGAATGACCCCTCCTCATAAAAAATGTCCAATGTGTGTGAGATGAAGTCTCACCGACCTTGCTTCTAAAGAACATCAAGGCTGTACTTTTTCCAAAACAGGTTTGCTGACTTTTCTGGCAGTCCGTAGGAGCTTCAGCATTCTTTGTCAACACCAATATTCAAAGACATCCATTTTTCCTTGTTCGTTGTCCAACTGTCAGGTGCACCTTCATCCTTAAAAAGACAGCAGCTTTGCTTTTTAACACTTCAAAGAGGTCTTTTGCAACTATTTGCCCAGTGCCATACACTGATCTCTCGACTGGCCTTCCATGAGTATTGATCTAAATGAAATGCAATTGTTAATGTCAGTCTTACTTCCCTTCATCGTGAGGTTACTGATTGATCCAGTTGTGGGATTTGTATTAACGTGAGAGTATAATCCACACTCAAATCTGTGGTCATTGACCTTCATCAGTAAGTGCCTCCAGTCCTCCTCATGTTCAGAAAGCAAGGAGTACAAGATAGCTTCCCTTAGCTCTATTGTTCAAGCTTGAAAATCCTACTTAGCTCAGTTATTAAAAACATTAACATGTAGAACTTCACTGTGAACCAAACATACCGTGGATGGAGGCTCTATTTTTCCTTAACAGTTCTTCTGGTCCAATTCTTTGTTGGAAATTTCTTTAATAGTTCTTCGGGTCCAATTCTTTGTTGGGTGTATCTTTAATAGTTCTTCGGGTCCAATTCTTTGTTGGAAATTTCTTTAATAGTTTTTCTGGTCCAATTCTTTGTTGGGTGTTTCTCTAATAGTTCTTCTGGTCCAGTTCTTTGTTGGGTGAGCATCAAGATTTGATCCTTCTCAGGGTTTAATTCCCCAGACTTTCTAGCCCCAGGGGTTAACTATGTGGTTTTTTTATGTGTCTGTGGGTTTAGTGTAGACTGTTTATTTCCGGTTGACATTTTTTACCTCTTGCTCTTGTTTGTTGCATTGTTTTGTCTTGAAATTCTAGAGAGAGAAACAAATCCTGCCACAAACTCAAACAGCTGTATCTTGGCTGAATGGCCTTAGCACCAGGGCCACCAATTTCAGGACAAAGCATCGGATAGGAGCCACCCCTTAAAATGTCTGGGTTATAAACCACAATTTTCCGCAGGACACTTAAATGACATCCAAACCTCTTCTGAGACAAAATAAGATAATGTTGCCATTATTACTAAATTCCTTAAAGAGTTGATGGACCTAAATAGAGGGTTGTTGTATTGATTCCAGCTCATGGTCATCCCACATCCAACAGAAGGAAATGCTGTCTGGTCCTAAGTCCTTTTTCACAGTCACTCACGCCCTTTATTTTGGCCACTGTGTATTTTGTGCTTCCAGCCTCAGAGGTCCGTCTGCCAACAGTGCATCGGACAGTGTTCCCTTGAGATCCACAGAATTTTCATTCACTAATTTTTCAAATTAGACTGTCAGGCCTTTCTTTCTAGTCTTAGTGTAGAAGTGCCACTGAAACCTGTCCCCCACTGGTGGGTGGCCTTGCAGGTCATTGAAATACTGGCAGCATGTCTTCCAGCATCACAGCAACACACAGGCCACCAGAGTGTGACACACTTGACAGGTGACCAGCAAGGACGGGGCAGGAACATGAGGTTTGGCAAGTCAGCCGTCTGTTAATGAAACTACTTCTCCACATTTTCCTGACATTTTTAAACTTTGGTTTCCTTTCTCCATACTGTTTTCTAACCTGCTGTTTCTGTCATTGTACTTGCATTTAATCATGTTCCCTAAAAACAAACCTAGTGCCGTTGAAACGATTCCAGCACCTAACAGCCCTGTGGGGTGATTGTGAGTATTATCATCGGATCGTGTAGATGGTACAGGATTCAAATCTCCTGTTCATAAAGTTACTATGAGTCATAGATGATTAACAACAATTGCATATGTGCTTTATATATATATTATATGTTTTATATATCTGTATCTATATCTATCTATGTAGTTTGAAGCTTTGGTGGTCTAAACTAATGGCCCTTGACCTTCCCAGCCTGAGAATTTTCATGAAAGCAGACTGTTTCCTCTTTCTGCCACGGGGTGACTGTTGAGTTTGAACCTCTGACTTTCTAGTTATGGCTGAACGCTTTACCCATAGTGTCAGGAGATCTGCTCTCATTGTGTTTGGAACCTTTTTAAAAGTGAAAAGCTATGGCAAACTGAAAACACGACTGGACTTGTGAGGAGTTGTAAGGAAACGTGCCTACACAGCTGTGGTTTCCCTGACTGCTCCCCGGACCTCCGTGTGGGATCTTTACACCAAACACAGGGGGATGATCATGCATTCAGGTGTTCTCAGGGTCCAGCTCTGGACTTTTCAAGAGAACAAAGGTGAAAACCAGATGCCTGGTTTTGTAGAATCAGGCCAAGCGAGTAATTGATGGCATGCGTAGTTCTTCCCCTTGGCTTTCACATGAAAGTGACCTGTGACCCGGGCAGCGTTCTCAGGGCGAGTCACCGCTCATGTGACTCCAGCCACCTGGAATCCGTGTGGCCCTGGGACCCACTTCCTTACCAGACTTTCCACTGCCCCCTTATACACACGTTTGCACACCACTCACCGGGGACAGTGGGACTGCCCACACTGGGGCAGTGCTGGGGTCCTGCTTGGAAAACTCCAAGAGATGCTTTTTTTGTTGGTTTGGTGTGGAGGTGATGGAAGTTGCACATAGAGGCCCAAGTTTACCACACACATTCCTTCGTCTGGAGCAAAAGATCATGATGGGTTCCTGTAAAATTCCTCTTCATTCTAGTTATTGCAGCTTTCTTTCTTCAACATTTTGTAATTTCCATCTCTCATCAAGGACCTCTCTAAAGTGTTAAGGATCAATGATGTCAGTTTAAAGACTAAGATGCATCTGATTTATGCCGCAAATGGTATAAATGGTGTTTTCAATTACTTATGAAGCATCTCAAAGTTGCACAGTGATTATAGATTAAAGAAGAAGAATCTATGCCTTTGAGTTATTGTGTTGAAGAAGAATACTGAATATCCAATGGCCTGCCAGAAGAAGAAATAATTTTGCCTTGGAGAAAGTACAACCAAGGTGCTTCCTGGAGGGAAGGATGATAAAAATCTTCATCTTACATACTTTGGGCATGTTGTCAGGAGAGGCGGGGCCTTGGAAAAGCGCATCATGCTTGAAAGTTGAAAGAAAGGAAGAGCCTCAAGGGAGTGGATTGACATGGTGACTGTACCCATGGGCCCAAGTATATCAGAGATGACTGGAATGGCACTGGATAGGACAAGGTTCAGATTCATAGTTCAGAGTCACTTTGACCTAAGAACAAACAATAAATCCCCAACCCCATGGAAGCCATTCTGAAACATTTAATGAGCTTTCTTTGTTCATGCATGTTCTTGGAAAGCACAGAAGGTGTGTGTGTGTGTGTGTGTGTGTGTGTGTGTGTGTGTGTGTGTGTATGTATGTGTACACGCTCATGCATTTTGAATTACAGATGCCATTGTGTTCCACACAACATTCTGTTTCTGATTGCTTCACTGTCCACCACACCGTCTTAAGATTGACCCTTTGTTATCCAGGCTTTATTGCATCTATTTCTTCTAGTGGTTACGTATTCCTCAGTGTTGTGCACTCATCATAGTTCTCTGTTGTTAGTTGCCCATTGAGTCTACTCTAACTGATGGTACATCCATGTGTGCAAAACGGAACTTCTTGGGGTGGGGTCCAAAACTATGACCTTTTGGGAGCAGATCTCCAGACCTTTTGTCTGAGGTACCTATATATGGGAGCTGCCAGCCTTTGTTGTTGTTTGTTTTATTGTGTGCTGTCAAGTCAGAACTGACCCGTAGCTGACCCTCCAGAAGATTTTCATAGGCAGTAAATCACACAGGAGGAGATTGCCCATCCTTCTTCCACAGAGCAGCTGGTGGATTTGGGATCACCCTTTTTCCACAGAGCAGCTGGTGGATTTGGGAACCACGTGCCTTTGGGATTGCAATGCAGCTTCTTGACACGAGGCCACCAGAGCTCCTGAGTTAGTAGTCCAGCATTTGTGTCATCTGGGGATACTCCTCCTCTTCTTCTCCAATAATTTACACACACTTTGAGGGAAACATCCAGGAATACTCTCAAGACCAGTTTTAATGACTGACTCCTTGGCAGAGGCGTGGGGTTTAGTAGCAGAATGGCTGCTGTTTCAAGGGTCTTCCACTTCTTTTGACCACGTTTTTGTCACAGGTGCCCTTGTTTGACCATTCTTCCTCTTTGCAGGAGCTGCAGAAAGCTCTGGACCACCGCAAGGCCATCATTCTCTCCATCAACCTGTGCAGCCCCGAGTTCATGCAGACAGACAGCGAGGAGAGCCGGCAGCTGCAGGACCGCCTGTCCCGGATGAACGGCCGCTGGGACCGCGTGTGCTCTCTGCTGGAGGAGTGGCGGGGCTCGCTCCAGGACGCGCTGATACAGTGCCAGGTCTCAGGGCTGCGGGTGGGCAGTGCTCTGTGGGCCGGCTTCTCCCCAGGCTCCCTCTGACTTGATTGGCCATACTTAGTAAACCAGCGGCTGTTGAGTCCTTCCCAATGGCATCAAGCCCCTGTGCACCTGAGTAGGCCTGTGCTCCATTGAGTTGTCAGTGGCTAATTTTTCAGAAGTACAGCAATGATGTCACTCTAGAGACTAAGTTGTGCCTGATCTGGGCTATAGTCTTCACAATTGCTTGCTATGCATCAGACAACTGAACAATGACTAGGGATGATAGAAAGAGAATTGATACCTTTGAGCTGTGATGCTAGAGAAGAGTGTTGAATGTGCCATGGACTTCTAGGAGAACAAACAGATTCATCCTAGAGAGGGTGAAATCAGGCTGCTCCATGAAGGCAAGGATTCTGAAGCTTCGTCTGACATAATTTGGACATGTTAAAAGAAGGGACCAGTCCTTGGAGAGGGATGTCATTCATGGGAGGGTGGAGGGACAGTGCAGGAGAGGAAGACCATCGATGAGATGGATTGATTCAGTGACTACGGCAATGGTAGTAGGTGTGTCAGAGATAGTAAGGTTGGCACAGGATAGAGCAGGGTTTAGGACTTTTGTACATAATAGGGTCTCTGTGAGTTGCAGGCGACTTGATGGCACACACAACAACAACAACAGCTTTTTTACGAGACACCTCTAGGTACGTTCAAACTGCCAGCGTTTTCGTTAGCTGCCAAGTGTGTGGACCATTTTCACTCCTCAGGGCACTCCCCAGAGTCAGTACTTGAATGAGGTCACCTGGTTTCCGGACTCTCCTTTTACTCTATCATTTGCGCATGTGAGGAAGGGTCCAAGGCCGCGAGACTCCGTCTTCTTTCCCATTAATCTCCATCCGTCTGTCCCCACGCTTCCTACTTTCACTCGTTCACTTAGTCCATTCATTTGTTCTGCAAATACTTTCCAAGCACTTTGCACACATCTCTTAGTCTTCAAAGTGAGCAGGACCCTTTCTTACCCCCACGGTGACATGATGGCAGTCCACTGTACAGTGATATTGTGCAGAGCACTTGGGTCATAGCTGGGCTCTATGTCTACCAGCAAAGGCAGCCAGTAAACATATGAGTAGATATGGAACTAAGATGCTTCTAGAGTTTCACAGTGAGAGCAGCTGAGAGAAGTCACTTTGTAGAGTGGTCGGAGGTGCTTCGCAGATGTTGGAGTGGTCACTGGAAGGCGGTTCCTGTGAAAGAGGCCTCACACATACATTTCAGAAGCAAGGAAGGCATGAGGGTCTTTAAGGAGAGAAAAGATGCCCTTGTGAACAGTTTGAGGTATGAGCCAGGGAGAGATCGGAGAGCTTGGGGGGGTGCTCAGGGAGCAGGTCGTTCGTGGCCAGCAGGCGTTCCAACTGCAGGTAGAAACGGCTGAAGAATTTGAAACCTGCTCTCGAGGTGGTGCCTCAGGTGGATTTGTGCTTTTCTCTTTAAAAAAGCACTTGATATATTTTTTTAATTAATTATGCCTCATGGTGATGCCATGCGTCTCAAAATAGGACTGGTTCCATTGAGTTTTCATTCAAGACATCTCAGGATAGACTCAAACTCCAGCATTTTTGGTTTGTAGCCAAGTGTGGTAATGTCTCAAGATCTGCAAGGGTGATACTTGTTGTTGTTATGTGCTGTTGAGTCACTTGCGACTCATAGCGACCCTATGTACAACAGCCCTAAACTCTGCTCAGTTCTGTGCCAGTCTCACTGTCTCTGATACACCCATCCAGATTATCCCAGTCACTGAATCAATCCACCTCATAGAGCTCCTTGAAAGCAGGTAGTCTTGCTTCTGGTTCACCTCTGTGTCTACCCCTAGGACAGCCTCAGGCCTTCTGAGAGTAGGCATTGAATGAAGGAGTGAATGATGATAATGGTAAATGAAGGGCACATGGGATTGAATAGAAATCTTAAAGATGGGGAAATTTGAATGTTCAGAGAAAGGAGAGCAGAATTGCTTGTGCTTCCTTGAGTGCAATTCATCGATCTAAATGGTCTAAACACCCCATTCTTCTTTCTACTTTCAAATAAGTAGATTGATGTCACATCTTTTTATGTCTAAGTATTCCTCACAGAGTAAATGAAGATATTTTAAATGAAGATATTTTTGGTAGGACCATCAGCTCAGATATCCTGGCAGTACCATTTCCCTCCTCTTGAAAACATCTTTGTCAGTAGTAGCAATATGTTGTTGTTAGGTGCTGTCGAGTATGGCTCATAGAGACCCTATGAACAACAGATCGGAAGTCTGTCCTGCCCTGTGCCACTGTCACAATCTTTGACACACTCAAGCCTATCGCTGTAGTCACTGTGTCAATCCACCTGGATGAAGTTCTTCCTCTCTTCTGCAGACCCCACACCTTTCCAAGCATGATGTCCTTCTCCAATGTCAAAGTATGTGAGATGAAGCTTCATCAGCCTTGCCTCCAAGGACCATTCTGGCTGCACTTTCTCCAAGACATATCTGTTCTTATGCAATCAATGAGATATTCAGCACTCTTTTCCAGAAACACAGTTCAAAGGCACCAGTTTTTATTTTTTCATTCTTATCTGGGTCTTTGTCTGACATATTTTGGACATGTTGTAAGGAGGGACAGGTCCTTGGAGAGGGACATCATGCTTGGGATGGTAGAGGGACAGCACAGGAGGGGAAGACCCTCTATGAGGTGGATTGATTCAGTGACTGGGGTAATCGGGATGGGTGTGTCGGAGGCAGTGCTATTGGCACAGGATAGAGCAGGGTTTAGGGCTGTTGTACACAGGGTTCCTATGAGTCGCAAACGACTCGACGGCACATAACAATAACAACAACAACAACAACAACATCTATCTCTCAGCAGCATAGCAAGTGTCTGTCAGTTTGCTATTCTGAGGTAACTTGTGGGTGCTGTGATGTTAAAGACTGTGCCACCAGTGTGTCAAATGTCAGAGGGGTCACCCATGGTGGACGAGTTTCAGTAGAGCTCCCAGATTAAGACAGACTAGGAAGAAGGATTGGCTATCCACTTCTGAAACAGTACGTGTCTGAAAACTCAATGAAAAACAGAGAAATATGGACAGTTAAAGGTGTTCAAGGTAGAGCCCAGATTAGAAGTCAATCAAAATGAGGAGAAATAGCTACAAACATCCTTCAGTGGCTGGAATATGGAACATACTGAGTATGAATGTTGTTATTGGTGTTGTTCTTGTTATGTGCCATCCAGCTGCCCATGACTCACAATGTCTTTATGAACCATAGCTCTGAACTCTGCCCTGTCCTGAGCTAGTCTCACCAACTCTGACACATGTATTCCCATTGCCCCATTTACTGTGTCAGTCCATCTCTTCCGGGGTCTTCCTCTCCTGTGCTGTTGGTTTTGACTCACAGTAACACCAGCATGAAGTACCGCGCAGGGCGGCACCATCCTCGTTCCCCTGTTATGTTTGAGTCTGTTACTGCAGTGAGTCTGCCCATCTTAGTAAGGCTCGTCTTCTTCTTTTGCTGACCTTTCTACTGTCCCAAGCATGGCTCCTTCTCCAGGAACTGGTCACACTCCTCCTAAGTGTCCAAAGTGCCTGACAAGTTTTCCCAGCCTCACTTCTAAGGAATGCGTTGGCTGTACTTCTCCAAGAAAGATAGTTCATTCTTCTGGCAGTTCATTGTCTAGTCAATGTTATTTACCAGCGCGTAATTCACAAAGTCATCATGAGGGTCAGGGCGAAACCACAGGTTTGCACAGTTTGGTATATGGACGGAGAAGGTGAAGGAAATGGGAAGGATCCAGCTGGGACATAGAAAGACAGGGTAATAATGGGCAAGGTCCAGTGGATTAATTATATAAAACAAAATGCATGGAAATGATTGTATGAAACACAATAAGAATGGCAAATAGTGTGAAACACAATGTATATCAGCTTTGTAAGCTAATCATTGTAAAATAAAATAAAAAAATCAGCCACCACCCAAACTCAATGGCAATGGAGATAAAGGACTTGAATAGACATTTCACCAAAGTTGACACTCAGATGACCACCAAACACATGAAGACACACTCAGGTCCATAAACCACCAGAGAGACACAGACCAAAACCCTAATGAGGTAGCATTGCACCCCTGTTAAGCATGGTCTAAACATGACTAGGGAGGATAGAAGGAGAAATGATGCCTTTGAGCGGTGGTGCTGGAGAAGAGTATTGAGGGTACCATGGACTGCCAAGATAACGAACAGATTCATCCTGAAGAGGGTTAAACCAGGCTGCTCCTTGGAGGCAAGGATTCTGGGGCTTCGTCTGACATACTTTGGACATTTTGTAAGGAGAGACCCCTTGGAGAAGGACATCATGCTTGGGAGGGTGGAAGGATGGC